CTGACGGCCGCCGCGGCCTCTCCCTCGCAGCCACCATTACTTCAAGTACTGCAAGATCTCGGCGCTGGCCCTGCTGAAGATGGTGATGCACGCCAGGTCCGGGGGCAACCTGGAGGTGATGGGGCTCATGCTGGGCAAGGTGGACGGCGAAACCATGATCATCATGGACAGCTTCGCCCTGCCGGTGGAGGGTACGGAGACTCGCGTCAACGCTCAGGCGGCCGCCTACGAGTACATGGCAGCGTACATTGAGAACGCAAAGCAGGTAAGGAGGGTGGCAGAGGGTGTTCCTCTCCCTCCGTGGCGTGGCGGCGGAGCTGGTAAGCTAATCGCGCAGGAACACGTTCTGGGGTTTGCAGGTTTCCCCCCCTCCCGCAGGGACAGGGCAGCTGTTGCCCTGTTTCTTCTCAAACATGGCTGAGAGAACTGTGTCGGCAGCAGAGAACACACACCCCTTTAAACGTGTTCACATACGTGTTTCTATGTCTTACAGTAGGTCATCAAGTACTGGATTCTTCTTTATAAATTATTTTCATTCCTCAGGAAGTGTTTTTTCTGGCTGCAGCTGGTGGATGGAACAAGGAGAGAGGGTGTTTCCAAAATAACTGATATAATACATGTTTCTAAAAAGAGTGTGCAAGATTAAATATAAAATATGTATGTGTCAGAGATACTTGCTATTTGTAGATAAGGAATATGACATTTATTCTTACCTTGTTGCTTTCTGAGGTCTTACTGCATAGCCATGCTGCTGTTTTCCGTAAAAATAAATACATTTGTCAAGAAAATGCCAGTGAAGGAATAAGTAAGTTTCAGTGCAACTTAATTATTCATATTTATAATTTGTAAATTTAGGTGGACTGACTCAGATGTCTGTTCCCCCTCTTCGTCACCCTGTATTCAGAGATCTATGTCATATTAAGCTTGACTGTGCAGTAAAATTTCACATGCAGAAGGATAACAGAAATACGAATCTGCTCTGTGGCTGATGTAGAAACCAGCATGGCACATCAGAGCACCTGCTGACGTGCTTCTTCCAGTACAGGGCAATCCTGTACTATGAATAAGTGTTGAAATAACTTTGACTCTCCAAGCTGAAATAGTTTTGAGGCTCAGTTTACCCTTTGGTTTTTCTTTAATCCTCAAAGTATTTTAAACCAGCTAAAATTGGAGGCCCCATACTTACTCACTGGACGTACCAGGACAGTATTTGGGTTGTTTTGTAGTTGTACTTACATTCACAGCCTTATATACAGTTAGAGATATTCAAATAGATGTGAATTAGGCTGGATCGTAACATCATAAAAGAGTAAACATAATCCAGAATTACATCTATTCTGGGACATTTTTAAATAATTCATCCCTGTTAATGAGAAAACTTTAAAATGATTTATTTAATATGTTTCCTTTTATCTGGGAACTATTAATGTCATGATGCTAGTACTGTTGTTGAAGAAAAGTAGGTAACTTGAAAAGATGTCTGTATCTAAAGATAAAATCATACTATCCAGTTTTTAGGTAGAAGTAAGGGGTTTCAAAATAGTAAGTATGTAGCATAAAATTGGTAATTTTTTAGTATACAGTTAGTTCATATTGTGTTTAAAATGGTCTAGGTTTATATAGGAGTGCTCATATGACAGGAAACATTTTTTTCTAGTTGTTTATATTGTACAGTTTTGTCTATAGTTTGTTTTGCAATTTTGAAATTGAACTTAAGTGCAAATATAGTAACTCAGCTTTACTGGGGCTCTGGCAGAGTTTGCATGGTGGCTGTTCCATGTTTGATTTTGGCAGGCAGTTGTTCCTGAAATAACTCTTTTTAATATTAGATTGCAAGTTAATATCTTCCCCTGCATAAGTACTTAATAGATACCAATGTTCCAGTTATCTGCTTCTTCATGGGCAGGGTTTGGTGCTAATAAAACCAAAATGTGTTATTTGGCTTTGAAAAATAACACGCGTTCTTTAATGTTTTGTTGGTCTCTCCTTCTCTATTATGAGACATATGAAGAAAATACAAATATTATTCACCAATTTAAAAATAAACATTCCATTCAGCAGGCAGTTTGTGTGTTCTGTCTCATCTTATTTTTCTGATTTAACCTTCCTGACATACTCAGTGTTTGGCAAAACCAAGGAGGTGATGCCTGCAGACACAGAACTCTCAGTTAAGAACTGGCGTGCGTATAGGGTTGTGCCAGAATTATTCAGCTCAGTGTGGAGCAGCCAGTAAGCAATTCCTGAGAGGGGAATTAGGTGCAATGGGTGCTCGTTCTCCTGAGGGGTTTTTTGGTTGGTTGGTTTGTTTTTCTTCCAGTACCTCTAGGGATAGGCAGCAGGATTATTTGGAAACTCCTATTTTGAGTTTTTCCTGATCCTAAAAACTTCAAAAACTCATATTTTGTCTTTCACAGCATGCTATGGCAATAATTTCTGTCCCTTCTGGTGTTTGAAAACATGCCTCTTGGAAGTTATTTTTTAAACCTAGCAATAATCTCTCTATATTCCTGAGATGTTACTGTACTAAATAATGAACATTAATTCTGTAGTGTACTGACATACCATACATTATATAAGATTTTATATATAGTATATATACACTATATATTTATATATGCTTTTATATGTAGTGTCATATCCACCCTAACAAATTTATTTTCCATACTGAAGAGTCTCAGCTTACTTACCCTCTCACCAAGTGCAATCTCTTCTCTACTTGAGCTGTTATTGAAGAAGGAGCTGCTGGCTCCTTGAAGTTCTTTACTCTGTGGTAGCAGCTGCAACAAGAGAACGCTGATAGTACGGATTGTGTGATTCCTAGAAAACAGCTTGGCAAAATCAGGTGTGGGTGTAGTGTTTAATTTAGTGTCGGTAAGTTAGCGTTGGGGGCCGTGTGTGTGTGTGTGTGTGTTTTGTGTCCTCTCGCCGCGCTGCAGTGTGCTGGGCGGCCCAACAGAGGGCAGCTGGTTCTGCGGGGATGGAGATAAACACTGGGTCACTTTTCCTTCACTGCACTTAGGTCGGTCGTCTAGAAAATGCAATTGGCTGGTATCACAGTCACCCTGGCTACGGCTGCTGGCTTTCGGGGATCGACGTCAGTACCCAGATGCTTAATCAGCAATTCCAAGAACCTTTTGTAGCGGTGGTTGTAAGTACTGGCTGATAACACTACATAGCAAATTAATGTTGGGGGGTTGAATTTTGAGATTTCTGTCTGTTAACAGTATTGTGGTGTGTATTTTGCATGATGGGAGCTTTAGATCCACATTTTAAATTGGTACCACTCCTTTTACTTTGCTGGCCACATACTGGTCAAACCCATAGTATTGCTTACCAAGGCCATTTTCACTGCACTCTTCCAGATATGGTAGCTCTATACAAATCCATGCTTTACTTCTAACTTAAAGTTCTACTTGGTACTTTTGCAAAAAAAATGTATTGAGCAATCCATATTCAGTCTGCTGCAATCAAACAAAAATCTGTTTCTTTTGTTCTCTTTGTCGCTTCTTCTGTCAAAAGAGAACAAAGTGTGTTCACAGAATGCTGTTGCTTTGCATCTAAAATGCCTATTTAAATTAAATCAATGGCGTAATACAAAGTAGAAGACACTAGAAAATGTATCTTTGAAAGAAAATTTTGAAGAAACTCTTTGGACCCTTCAGGGTCTTTGAGGCTTCAGATCACATTTGAAATCAAAAGTAAACCTTGTTTTAGATACTACTTGTATAACCATTGCTACTGAAGGAAATAAAGGAAAAAAGACTGAAATTAGCCAGAAGGAAGGAATATAAGTGATGGAAGAATTACATTAGAAAAGGATAAATGACCCCTAAGAATTATTTCTACCATGTGAGTTCACTTTCCTCTGGACTTTTTTTAATTACTTTTAAAATCAAACAGGGCATTAGGCCATGTGTTAGCAAGGAGATGCCTTCATTAGTTTCCTATATTTTCCACCAAAATGCAGCAGATCACATAATACTTTCTCTTACTTCTAGTGGTTATAAGAGTAAAATGCAGGTTTTTATTACGGTTTATTGATTGCTTTTAAGTGCAGTTTCTTTAAAGTATTTGGGAAAGAAAGAAAATGAGTTTGAAAAAATGGTCTATAGAAGGCTATTGATGATACTCTTTTCAGAGAGTCCAGTGACCAACAGGTGCCAACTGAAAAAGTACTGTTTATGACAAATCTAATACAATTCACACTAGTTACATTTCTGAAAGACAATTACTGTAAAGTTAATTTATGCCTCTAATAATTTATAAAATACATATAACAAGCATCTCCTGTATTTCTACAGATCGATCCAACAAGAACAATATCTGCAGGAAAAGTAAATCTTGGAGCATTTAGGACATATCCCAAGGTAAATAGTTAAAATTATCTAGTGCATGATCACTAAGCTGTCGTTAAATAAATAATAGATTAGTTCTAAAGATTGCTGCAGTTTAATCGTCTGTCAGTTTGATCTCCTGTGATATACTGTATGTCGCTGCTCATTCTAAAGGAAAGACTTGTTGATATACATGTTACTGCATGTCTTTGGATATTGATTATGGTTACAAAGGTTGACTTCTAGTTTGTTTTTCATAGCTTTTTGGCAGTATTAAATCAAATATACTGTCTAGATAGTGTAGCTGTCCTAAAATTATATAGCTCAATGTAGCCATTTTTTAATGGATCTAGTTGTGGGTAGCATTCATCAAAATAGATTTATGTTAATTTTTCTCTATCATTTTTTAGACCTAAACCCAAATGTAATAGCCTGTTTAATATGTTGTAACCTGCTTTTCATTTTAGAAAAGGAAGATTCAAAACTATCTACTTATCTCTTTCAAATAAATATTATGAATCTTCACAAAATAGTGTACAAAAATCTAAGTTCATTAAACAACATGGAAGAATTAGGCTAGAAACTAGAAAATCACATAAATATTGGAGGTCTAGATCTCCAAATGCAGTCTTTCATTTATACTTCTGGCAGATATAGCTGTGCTATTTAATTTCAATCTAATAAAGTTCAGGTATATCCTTCAAATTTCCAGTTATTATTGACTCATCAAGAACTTCAGGCTGTGACATCCAGTAAAACTGTAATTAACAAAAATGTTTGTGAGAGATTCCCAGTTGCATTCAAACATTATGTGTTGACAAATACACAACAGATCTTCTTAAAAAGGTTTGTGACTCTGGAGAATATTCACTTCTGTAAGCAAAACCACTTCATAAATACTTTCAGAATTTTGAGCAGGGAGAAGAATCTTGCACACTAGAAGCGTATTTTTAGGGAGTCCTCACAATAGTCTGCGGGCAGTTCTTGCCTAGTCAGTAGGTGTGAGTGGCACCATGTTGGCTAAATAAGTACCTGAACTTTTAGGTATCCCTAAGGCATATCCAAGGCATGGATATTTTTTCCCTCATCTCATGCCTCCTCTCTTCCCTCAAAAGAGGATTGAAATAATCTCCAATAAAAGGTAGAGAAATACTGTCATAAAAGAAGCTTGTTCTTTATTTGATCTAAGAAATGATCTCGTCACAGCTTGCCATCTTACTTGTTTGAAAAATGTCAACTATGACCCCTAGTTTGCTTCCAACATGATTTTTGATAGACCTGCAAACGTAACGGCTGCTAGTAAAGCCCAATGGAAATCTGATCCAAGAAAATTAGAGATTTCAGACTACTGGGGGAATTTCATTTTCCCTAGGAAAAATAAACTAGAATTGCATAAACTAGAACTTTTGTGAAGTGTTTTGAAAGACTTCAGGTGTTTTAAAAGGTCCCAAAATTACTGTGTCATCTTTTCCCTTTATTGAATTTTTAGGGCTATAAACCTCCAGATGAAGGTCCCTCTGAATACCAAACTATTCCGCTTAATAAAATAGAAGACTTTGGTGTACATTGTAAACAGTAAGTAACATTAAAACTGCTAACTCTGGCACAAGTTCTCAATTTCTTTGCTTAGGTTAGTGATTCAGTACAGAAAAGTACATTTCTTGGAGTGTTTCAAGTCTCAAAAAGGTTCTTTGTTGCTTTAGCACTGTTGGTTTTGTGAAAAAGTGTTATTGTCATTTATGGGGAGGTCTTTTAAGGGAGAACTGTTACAAAGATGAAGGTGAACCTGGTTAAAAGCTTTAGCAGTTGATTCCTGAACACCTTTAAGTAGTGGTGCTCCCTTAGGGCAGGGAGGAAAGGGTCAGATGTAGATCTAGCAAGGCTAGGGAGACTAATCTGTCTGCTCCTCTGAGCAGTGGCAAGTGCTGTGCACCTCTTTATCTTGCATTACTGGATGTCTTTAGGTTGTTTCTGTCTTTGGTAGGATTGGAAAGTAGAGCTGCTTCACGGATAACATCAGCAACAGGAAGAATTACTGCTTTTTCTCTCCTGCTAGTTTACTCTCCATGAATTAAAAAGGTCATTTAGTTTTAACCGTCCTTTCTTTGACAGCCACATGTTTCTCACTTCATACCTACACTGACTTACTTAGCGAGGCATTTCTTTTGCCAGGTCAGTGCCCTGATCTGGTCCAACTTGTGGGAGCACACACGTTCTTGCTGGTTAAGCTAAGGTGGGGTGGAAAGTAGAAACAAATGTTGGAGAGAAAGTGTTTCCAAAGAACAGCTAAAGAAGGATGGGACTGCTTTCAGTAATGGCTCAGTCTCTATTCTGCCTTCAGGTATTTGTCAAGCACCACAGCTTAAGCATCTGTGTACAGAAAACTTGAAGATCTCATTGACACCAGTGTGTCCTGTAGGCTGTTGTGTAGTTTTTTTGCTTTTTTAATGCATGGATATTTGTTCTTCAGTGTATTTATAGTTGCGTGCAAAGTCTGACCCTGAGAGATGATCAATTGGAATTGGTCTTCCTATCCAGTTCTGAGGAAAAATCCAGAACAGTAGCTACACAGAAATCTTTGTAGGACTGTGATGTTCCTGTAAGTTCAGAGTAGTCCTTACAAGTCTGGCATTGGCCATAAACCCATGCTTCAAGCTTGAAAGGAGAATATGTTTTCTTCTTTTTTTGGGACAGTTCATTTGGTGTTTTTTTTGAAGTCAGAAGTGCTTAGTAGATATCGTTATAATCTCTGTATCGGGGAGTTGACTTCTTGTACAAGCCATTTCTTTCTATCCAAACCAAGAAAGTATTTTCCAGTCTTTCCTAGAAGGAAACAGCAGTTAGGCAAAGAAAGGGAATTGGAACTGGAAATTTGTCATGTTACTGAATTACTGATAATACAAAAGACTAGAGTGGTGGTGTCCTCTCGGTAGTGTGAGTAGTCTGACTAAGAATTAAAAGTTTAGAGAACTTGAATGATGATCATAGAACCATGGAATTATTTAGGTTGGAAAAGACCCTTAAAATCATTGAGTCCAACTGTTAACCTAACACTACTAAGTCCACCACTAAACCATGTCCCTAAGCATCACGTCTACACGTCTTTTAAATACTTCCAGGGATGGTGACTCAACTACTTCCCTGAGCAGCCTGTTCCAGTGCTTGACAGCCCTTTTGGTAATGAAATTTTTTTCTCATGTCTAATTAAATATCCCGTGTGCAACTTGAGGCCATTTCCTCTCATCTTCTCACTTCTTACTTGGGAGAAGAGGCCGACACCCACCTCAGTACAACCTCCTTTCAGGTAGTTGTAGAAAGCGATAAGGTCTCCTGTGAGCCTCCTTTTCTCCAGACTAAACAGGGACTCCTCCATAAGAGGACCCTTAATGATCCTGTCTCTTTGGAACGCCAGTGACTGCTAATTGCTTCATAGTAGCAATCTGGATCTTCTTACTCAAACTTCTCTCCTTGAATTGGTGTTCAATGCCCAATATGAAACTGCTTCCACTTAATCTTTTAAAATAAGTTTATTAGACTATTCCTCAAACAACTTGGATTTCTAATTTTGAATCTGCCACACATCTCTTTGAAGAACTTAGTACCTCATTTTTCTTAGCATATGTGAAATAAGAGTATTTGTCCTGTCACAGAAATATTGAAGTGTGGTATCTTGGTAGATTTTAAAGCATTGTTATCTCAGATGGAATTTCTTACAGAAATACCAAGCAAAATAACTTTCCAGAGAAATCAAGAGATAATAGGATTATTGATAATCTGCTCAAGAATTTCCTGAACAAAATAAAGTTTAATATAGCTCTTTAATGTTGTTGTAATTCACCTACACTAATGACTTTGCACAGCTCAGCTTTTTATCTGCTTTATCATCGTTCATGAATTCTGCAGCACCACTAAAGCCTGGCTTCCAAAATAGGTGTGGTAGAACATAAGATTGTTTGCCTTTTTATAACATTCACTGCTGTCAGACATTCCTAATTGAATTAGAGGCGATACAAGCAAAACTGCTGTCATCTGTAAGTAACAATTATTACAGTATTGAAGATCCCAAGCATGGAACAGGGCATCGTTGCATTGCATGAGAAGTTGTTAAAGAGAATAATTTTAAAACCCTTGCAATCTCATGAAATAGAACACAGCAGTGTGTGTGGGGATTATGTATACCTGTATTAAAGCTATATATTAAATACTTGCAGAAAATATCTTAGAGCTAGAATAGGAACTGAGGGTAACGTTTTTATTGTCCAGTGCTTTGAATTTTTGAAGATATTTGCCATTGATAAGGATTTTTTCAGAGGGATGTACTTTGGGTGTCACAGCCAAGCAAGACATATTTAGATGCAAGCTTATTTTGTTTGCATGTTTGTTTTTAAAGGTATTATGCTTTAGAAGTCTCATACTTTAAATCATCTTTGGATCGTAAATTGCTTGAGCTTTTGTGGAACAAGTACTGGGTCAACACTCTCAGTTCTTCTAGTTTGCTTACTGTAAGTACCATAGTATGCTATCATATGCATATATTGATTCATAAGTGCTGAAAGCCAGACCCTCAGCTGTAAAATGGTTAATGGGACACTGATAGATATAGATACCACATTATTTGTCAGATTAACCAAGAAAGGAAGGTTTTCCTAATCCTAAGTACTTAAATGTTCCTTATATCTGCTTTTTAAAAGTAGAAGGTGGGAATAACTTATGTTTAATTTTATGGAGTTCTCTATACAGTTAGATTTTTGTCTTAAACACCTTTTAACCATATATCTCTTTACAGCACTGTAATGAATAGTGTGCCTTAAAATAACGTATTAAGTAAACACTTTTAAAAATCCCAAACAAACAAAAACAAACCAATGGAACTGTAAAAAAGAGGTTGCAACAGAAATACTGCAGGTATAACAGCTTAGCATCAAAACCTTCCTTCTGCAAAAGCCAATTTTTACCTTTTCTCTTAATCAAAACCAGCTGAGTTTTACTTACTCTTTCATAACTTGGGACATGGGCAGAAGGTAATAACGAGTGCCTGTTTCAGGCTTTAGGTATTGAGCATTTATCAGATGTTCAGCTTCTGTTCTCTCCACCACCACTCATGGGCCACTCATGTTCCATATTACTTCAGTTGCAGCTATAGGTTAAAATGTGCAGTACTACAGTCTTAAAAGCTCTTTTCAGATTTTGTTTATTTTGTATATAAATACTTGAATTTATATCTTAGAATTCAATATGTTTATTGCCTTCTTTCTCCTAAGAATGCTGACTACACCACTGGCCAGGTCTTTGATTTGTCTGAAAAATTAGAACAGTCAGAAGCTCAACTGGGAAGGGGCAGTTTCATGCTGGGTTTAGAAACTCACGATAAGAAATCAGAAGACAAACTTGCAAAAGCAACAAGAGACAGGTAAGATAATGCATACTTGTGTTCTTCCCAGTAAAAAGTGTTACTTTGTTTTAAACTTTTATCATGCTTTTAATGGTAACCTATCAATTAAATTATAACCTACCAAGATTATAGATAAGAATGATTAGATTATAGATAGGAATGAGAGATTTCAAATGTCACTAGTTACTTTTGAAAGTTTAAGAAAATCTTGCCTTTATTAAACCCACAAGTGGCTTTTCAGTCTTTGTTTCTGGAATAAATTAAACTCTAGTTCATAGTTTAATAAACAAAAAATCCCTGTTAAATTCCATCAGTATACAGCAAACCAAAAAAGATGTTTTCTGTCAAATAGCACATTTTATGTGGTTAATTGGGTTTAAACTAACAGTAAATAAAATCATATAGAACATGATTTTAAGAACTAGTGCTAACAGTCTGGTAAGTTTAGTTTACCCTTGTGTAATACTTTCTCTCACTTAAAAATTAAGAACTCCCTTTTTTATATTTCTTAACTAAGACACCCTTTTTCCACAAATGAGGAAGATTTTTTACTCTCCCAATAGTTTTAACACTGGTCTGTGTGCTTAGACTATCTGTGTAATAGTCACCACTTTTCCAGATAAAATCTTTAACAAAGGGTAGTAGTATCCAGCAAGTCTTACATTATCTTGAAATGTTCAAAAACATTGTGTTTGGCAAATTCCAGACTCTAAAACCAGGAAGTACTGCACTGTATGTGGTAGTACAATCTCAGGTCTGTCTGTGGAGAAGACAGGACTCACCTGCATGCATCTTACGAGTGTTCTGAGTGACATATAATTCCATTTAATAAGGAGCTATTCTATAGAAACCCTGGGAACAGACTGCAAAAATTGAATAAAATCTGGGATGTTCTGCTTCTCAGATTTGGAGGTTTTCTGGTCCTCTTCCTTATTGTTTTATCCTGATACATAGAACAGTTCTCTTGTATTCTGTTTTCCCCCCACCACATTAGTAATATATTCCATAGTACAACCTTTACTAAGGAACTGATTTTTGAGATAGCAGAAGAGAGGTGAGTTTAATGATAGGTAAAAAAAATCAAAGGCAAAAAGGAGGCCTTGTCTGAAGAGACCAATTTACAAATAAACTACTTTATTTACATCTTGCTCAGTATGACTTAGGTGAATAAAGAGAGGAGTCAGCTTGTGTTGGACAAGCGTTTGTTCCAGAGTAGGCAGCAGGGGAATACCTGCAAATGTAGTATGGTTATTGCTAAACAGAATCAGAGTTGCTGTTGTGCTAGTGTCTGCTGTGCATTTGTTTCCTTGTTATGGAAAGTTAACAGCTCTTACAAGTTTTCTAGCAAACATGATTGGCTTGGAGGGGAGTCAACTTTAATAGAGGTTAATACCCATTTAGACTATTTTAGTTGCAGAATACAGTTGCAATGGAGTTAAGGCTGCTGCTACCTCACAACAGCCAGGTTAAATGATACTCCCAATTCCAGTAGTGAAACAGTTACAATATCAATGCTTTAAAGACAGGAGAAGGATGAAGTTGCTGACAAGTTTGCTCTGATTTTGATCCCTGGTTGGTGTCCCATAGTACTGACCGCATTTTATTTTCACTGTACTCTCACATGCTTGCAGTTATTCTAAGAAATAACTCCTTCTCTGGTCATCCTACTATATTATTTCTTGCAGCTCTAGAGATTTTTATTTTCTGGTTTTATTTGATCATCATCAGTAGTTTGTTTATAAATAGTAAGACTGGAAGGGATTGTTGTCATCAAATCTGCTTTCCTATGTAACAGAGGCTACTGTCATTCCCAAAATGGATTTTACACTTTTGCAGATGCATGTTTTTCTTGAACTAAAAATCTTTCCTAAGAAAAGAGAATAGACAGTAGAAGACTTGTGCAGACATCAGGACAGCTGATTCAGTGGCACTTAAATTACTTTCAAGAAATGAAGTTGCAAAGTTTGGTGAAGGATTATTGGGTGTACCTGTTTTAGGAAGAACAATACTGTAAGATATTAGTGTAGAGTTGCTTACACTTGGCTATAGGATCCCTTCTGTCACTGTACATAAGCATCTCTAAGAGGCGTTTTCTAACATAAGCGTTAGCCAAACTGTGCTGCAAGCTGGTTTGGAGATTCCTTTGCCTAAGATTCCTTTTACCTATCTAGTAGTAATTTGTCCATATTCTGTTTTGAGACATTTTTATTTGTTGGCTTGACACCACATCCCCCTAAGCCAGGCACACTCCTCTCAGTTGTTTGGGGGTTTTGCACATTACATATTTTGACTAAAAACTGATTAGCTCTATAACTCTTCCTTTAATGTTCTCTGTAAAGCTTCCCAGAGGAGCTATGGTTACTGTGCACTACTGGCCTGATACTGGGCAAAGGAGATAGGGTGGAGAACAGTGAGAGCCTTCAGGTCTTGATAACAGCTGGTAGCTCCGTTCAGCTAGGGTTGTTTGTTTTTATTTATTTTTTTGGTTCAGATGGACACAGAGTTCACTTGCTACTGTTAATGTAAGATACCCTAAATTGCCAGACAAAGAAGTTTTCTGGAATTGGTCTTTGTGTGTTTAGTGCTTGTCAGTTTGCTTTTTAAGTAACAAAAGCTATTGGCAACAATGGCTCAATTGCTGTGTGTGACTTTTCCTTTCTGGACAGTTTTAAAGATTCATGGGGTTATGGGCACCCTGAACTTCCAAAACAGCTGAATATCTTCAAATAAAATGACAGTTCAGTTCAGTGTTTGGCCAACATTGAATTTATGCTTGTTTTTCAGCTGCAAGACCACCATAGAAGCTATACATGGATTGATGTCTCAGGTGATTAAGGATAAACTTTTTAATCAAATTAATATAGCTTGAAGTGCATCACCAGCTGATATGCATCTCCAAAGCAGAAAAAGTCATGGTTTCTTTTGCTTGGACTTGTTCAATTTGGGAAATGAAGCTGGAGTGGAAAATTATTCATTTAATTTGTAGTACTTTAATATTTCCCACCTGTCTGACCAGTTTTAAAGAACAAAATGTTCTGAAATGTAGTGCAACTTTTTGTTCTTTATCATAAAACACAACTAGTTTGGAGAATTGTTCCAAAAGAAAAATAAATGTGACTTACTGGATATTGCTCTTAGGTATTTATCTCTATTATCCAACTGCAATAAAGCAATTTTGAAAATGAGTGCTTTGGGGCTTGAATTTTTTGGCAAACATTCATCTTCTCTTACTCTTTTTCTTATTGTTCCATAGAAAAGTTCTGTCCACTCAGCTAGATTAGATAGGTAAACTATGCAGTATAAGAAGTTTGTTTCTCAGATTTTCCTTTCTGTGTTTAAGAATGGAAATCCCATTTGCTTATCTTTTAACAAGTTACTAAATCTAATGGAGCCTTTCCTGATTTAGTTTTACTTATCCAGCCAGAAATGGTTTCTCCTCACAGTGATGAAACATTCACGCACGATACAACAGCGTTTTGCTTGTAGCTTCACACTTACAGTGGACATTTTATATTTCTAAGTAGTCAAGTAATGATCAGTTCCATGGTGAAATTAGTAATATTATTATATACCATTATTTTTCTCTTGCTCACCTTTTATTGCTTGTCATAGTTACTTGTTGCACGCAAAGGAACAAAATGAAAAATCATTACCTCTGAAATACGTGTTAGGCTGATTTAGGGCCACAGATAGTAAAATGCGTTAATCATAATTGCTGGCTTACAATGCGGTGCTGCTGCAGGGCTGATCTGAGTTTGGTTTGGAGGCTTTCATACTGCATTTCAATAATTCAAGATGTTTGTATTTCTTTTAAGTTTTTATTCTTAATCCTGAGTTTCCTGGGGTTTCTGGAATGTTTACTTTTGGGATAATTTATGCTTTATACAATATACCATTACACTTTATACCTTAAGTAACTGATATTCCTTTTCGACCTTAACTCTGCCTTGATGTGGGTTTTGTTTTTGTTTTAGTCTGGAAATTTTAATAGCTATTACTCATTTGGAGCTTTTCATCCAAATGGATTCCAGTAGATTTGAAGCTAAGATGCAAGTTACACACTGGAAAGTTATCATTCAGCAGGGAAATGCAGATACCCTGAAGCAGAAATTCATAAAGAGTTTTAAAGCAGCAGCATCCAACAGTATAGGAAAAATACATTTAATCGGAGCTAGTAAAGTTGAGGTAACTTTTAGGTGAGCAGTTTGATAGGAGAACAATTTTGTGCTTCTTCCAGCATGACAGTGGTGGTGGGGAGGCAAGAGAAGAAAGCTGTGGTATTTTAATATTAAAGCTATTAATTTTCTTGGAAAGGGCAGCGATCGGCTTCTGTACAAGCACAGAACATAAGCCCACAGCAGTACCTTACAAGTTTAAGGAAGACACAGCAAGTGTACCTGGCCAGTAACTTTTCCTACTTATTGTCTTCCACAGGTGTTTGTGAGGCTTTAAATTTTAGCACACAGCCATTCTCCCACTCGATACAGGTTTACACAAAGAAATACGCCGCTTTTGTGCGATAAATACCTATTAGGAAATATAACCTATGGTGCCACTTTATAGAATTCTCTTTGCATAACATGATCCAAAAGTTTTGGGCATCTTCTATCTACCTGAAATACAAAATCATAGTTTAATTTCATATTAGTCTATTTAGCTTATTTAAACTGTCCTCATTTGTGATAGCAGTGAGCTAAAATTTCATACACAGAGGCTTGGACTGAATGTTAGAATCACAGAATGGTTTGGGTTGGAAGGGACCAACCCCCTGCCATCAGCAGGGACACCTTCCACTAGACCAGGTTGTTTTATAAACAGTAGCAATATGCATGAGTTACATGTGTTGTTACTTGCTGAGCCTATAGTGGTGTAACTCAAGTTTAAAATTATACAGAAATTAGCTTATGCAAATGAGTGCCACATACAAGGTAATTATTTTGACAGCTGAAGTAATTCCATACATACTAACGCACATGCAAATACATTCTCTTTATTTAGGTCTTTGAGACAAGCATCTGTACAAAAATTCTGAGTGCCCTTGACATTTTAATAATTAAAAATCTAATTCAATGACCACAATTACTTTCTTCATCTAACAGTATTTGCCAACAGATATTAAAAGTATGGAATGCTGAAAATGCTGAATTGTGTCTGAAGTTCCCTCTCCCATTCTTCTGTTTTTCTTTTTTCAGGCTGTCCTGTATGCTCACCTTTCTCATGTATGCAAATTGCATTTTAAACAGTTTATGCATTCTAATATCAACAAAATCCAAAGAAATACATGTGTATTTGTAATAATCAAATAGCAAGGACTAAGCTTTAACTCCTGATAGAGTACCAGTTGTTGCTTTGTTGTCCTGTCAGTTCCTGAAGTTCCCTTCAGATGTTTGGTAGGAACTGGAATGGCAGCCCCTATAAATTAATTTTCTTGCCTAGAATAATTCTGTTGCCACACAGGACCAGAAAACAAGATATAATTTTCCTTGCCTTTTTAAAGTTTACTGAATGGAGTTACGCAGTGGTGGGAGACTGGCTTCTCTTTCTGTTCACCTGTTGTCCTGTCTTCCCATCTACCTAAAAGGCAAACAGGCAAGGGAAGGTAAGGGGTTATGGGAGACACTCTGCTGTTTGTCCATCTTGAACAGCAGCTGTAGGAGTGCTGCTGGGAATGAGCTCGTGAACCTGGACACTTTCTTACCTGTTTTGAATTGATTTAGTAGCTTCATAGAGTATTTCTAGTTCTTAGTGTGGCATGTCCCAATTAACAGTTCTGTTTGCCTTACCCTCCACCTTTATGATTTATCAGCTTTTATCATATCATCACCTCAGCCTTCTCTCCAAACTAAGTTCCAGCTTTTTCATGCTGTTGTCATAAAGCTGCCACTTCATCCACTTGATCATTTTAGTTGCCCTCCATACCATGTCTCATCCTGCTTTGTCCTTGTCATGCAGAGCCCAGAACTGCACTGTATTCAAGATTCAGGTGCATCAAAGTTTAATAGAGGCAAAATAGTTCTCCCTTGCTCTCAGTACCCTTCCTGGTGACACTCAGTGTTTCGTTGGCTTATTTGGTTGGTGCTGCATATCAAGCTGATGATTCAATAATCTTAAAGATGGCTTAAGTTTGAATCAGTACGATTCAGGTACGATTTTGGAAAGCACTGGTTCAGATTTTCCCAAGATGCATTTATCAACACTGAAGCTTCTCTGCCACATTTTTGCTCACTCAGTTTTGTGAGATCCTTTTGGAGTTCCTCACCATTAGCACAGTGTTTGAAGAGCCAAATTACCAACTGAAAACTTTGAGCTATTTAGTTATCTTTAACTCTTTGGGGTTTCATCTGATTGACGAGCTCATTTCAGAGCGGATTCTACCCCAGTGACACTGACTATAATGTATTGCCAGACTTTTGGACAGTAAAGTCAAATGCAAAATACTGTGCTGTCTGTAACAAAATTTAAGCTTGGGTTGTCTTTATAATTCAGTACAATGTCTAGCCATTTTTTAGTGTTCTGAAAATCCAGAATACTGCACAGAGACTAGGAACTCAACTATAGGACAAACATTTGAAAATAAACACATTGGAGAGGAAACACTGAATTGCAGTGACTGCAGGGAAGAATGTTTTGCTCTCTAAAGGCTGTACACTGGAGAAGGAGATGGTTTCAGGCCTAGTGTGTAAATGATGAGGTGCAGATGTAGGACTCATGCATGCACAATTATTCATTTATCTTGCATATGCCTGCACTGTATCTGACTACCATATATATATATATATATATATTATTTTTTTTTAACTGAAAATACACATTTCAGAAACTTGCAAAATTGTATTCCTGGATTATTGTAAAAGTAACTAACAGCAATGGAAACATTTCAAATGTACATGTATATGGTATATCTGAGGTATCTGGTCATATAAAGCAGAAAGACTTCTCAGATTTTATATGTAGCCAAGACACTTAAGGTAGTGAAGTTTTGCTTTGGGGTCCCACATAAACAGATTACCTACTCAGTAAGTATGTTCTTAACTAATCTGTAAAATGTAACATCTTCACTCTGGTTGCATGTGCTTTAGCAGTATTTGTGGATAGTGTTTAACAAAACTGTAAAAAGCTAGGTTAGGTGATCAGGCTATTAGGGCCAATTTTTTTCTAAATAATTCTGCACCCAGTGGCCCCCATTTTTACCACTAAGCACTCAGATTTTCAAAAGCACTTATTCAGAAAGAAAATGGGAGTCACTAGGTGTTAAGTACTTCCCTAGGTCTCTTACATTAGATGTATACTGGAGACAGCCTTTCTGAAGGATTAGCCCTAATTGGGAGTTTTAATCAATAATCTAAATACACTAAAGAAAGAAAAATTTTAGAAAATATTTCAGTCCCAGAAGCTCACTCTGCCACCGTTGGCCACCAGTACCTGGATTTTGTTAAAACTCTGTAATTTTTACTCTTATAAGCAATCTTTGTATGAACCTCATTGAGGTCAAGAAATACTTTTGCTTTAGAAAAAGCTAATAAAAAGGCTAACCTTAATCTTTTGCTTGTGAGCAGCGTCTCAAGTTCTTCAGTCATCCCATACCTCACATTCACACCAGACCAGAAGAAATATTCCTTGAGCTTTTCATAAATTATCTTTGTTTCTGGTACTGGAATAAGAGGCAGCTGTGAGCTGGCTACAACAGCTCTGTTCACCGTCTATCTTTGGTATTCCCTGGAAAACTCCCCTTGGCCCACAATGTCTCTGTTCAGACCCTGTTTTACAAGGGACTCTTGTTTCCTTGCCTTCGGTGGCAGTTTGTGCAGACAAGCTGAGATTGAATTGAATGAGCTTGCTATTTAGTAAATGAAGCATAATTTTCTTGCATTTCTATCATTTGTGCCCTTAAAAAGCTTCAATTGCATCTGGTTTTGGATATTTTGTTGTGCCTAGTGTTCCATGAGACTTCAGTTGCAGCAGGCTATTCCTGCAGATACAGGAGCTTTAGAAGGTATAAGGTTGCCATCAACTTGGGTACCAGATCACTCCTGCACAGTGCAGGACGTTGCCCCAGGGCATACGGTGTTTCTCTAGTACTCCTCCATTTATTATGAACTGTAATGACAGTTGATTATTTAATGTTGATTATTAAAAATGCAAGAATCCAAGATGTAAAGCTAATTGCTGACATATTACCAT